CAGCATTAGGACTTCGTCGGTTGTAACCTCCGCGTCTAAATATAAAATCATGCAAATATAAATACATGTAACTGACACAAATTATGAAAATAAATAAGCATTTAAAGGAATAAAATTGTCAGATATTGCTCACTTACTTCAAAGTGACACAACTAAAAATTTTTTTTTTAAATTATAAATGAATTAGTAAACATTACTCTATCATCAAAAAAGTGAATTTAATTTTATGAAATCATTAAAATTGTCACAACTCAAAGAGTGGTTTAAAAAAAAAATTATCAAAATCGTTAAAACTTAAAAGAGGCGGATAAGAGTTGTGAAACAAAAATAATAAAATGACATTGATTAAATTAAAAAATAAGTTTCCTCCTTTTCTGGGAAACTTAATTTTTTTAGTTGTATCGCTTTTGAAGTAAAGATGAAGTAAAACATAACATCACAAATTATTTTATTCATATATTCCTAGCCTATTAATATAATAAATTTCGTACCAGACACAAAGTCTGCTTGCTTATTTATTGAGTCGCACGAAACGACACCAATTTTTAATCTTCTCGGAAGCGTGATAGTAGATACTCGCAAAGAAAACGATCACATCAGCAGATCATCGTCTCCAAAAGCGTACGCGAGTTTACTCGTTTGTCAGTCACACATGGCATGCAGCAAACGTAAACAATCTCATGGAATACAACAATCATAGGACATAATCTTTCTCGATTCTTACGCATCCTCCTCAGAGAGACTCAAAGCATTTCTTTTATCGCTTTACTTGAATCGTATTAGAAGAAGCTTTTATTTAATTCCAAATTATTTGTGACTATTTGTGGCTATTTTGAGCATTATTTAGGAAAGCCGATCTTTGTGTAATATAGCTTATCCTCTTCTTATTGGGCACATACAATTTGATTCTCATATGTGTACTTTGAATTATTAAAAATAATGATTTACTCTTCGTTAAAAAAGCTACTTCTGTATCCTTATATAATGTTATTTATATTCTTTTAAAAATTATCTCTATCGCTGTACATAAATACGTAAGATGCAGTACGACAATGTTGTCCCGACGACGTTGGTTCATCCAATATGTCAAACTTCTCTACAGTAAGGTAATATAAACACCATAACAATTATTCATGCATGACCGTGCAATGCATTATTATCTTTATCATTCTCCTTTGCATTTCTTCCGCGGACATCCACTCTTCGAGTGTAGTTCTTCTTTTATTTCACTATTTCTACGTTTCATATCCAAGATATTGTGACCAGCCTACGTATTGTAGTCTCTGAAATAAACAATATAATATTACATTTGAATCCAACTATTCTTTTCACATTGCAATTAACTTAATAGTAATTAAAAATGATTTCTTTTAATTAATTCTAGAATTTGAACAGCTTAAATTTGAAGTATTTTTCTTTTAAATTAATAAAAGCCTTTAATTTAAAAAATATATGATTATAGCTAAGATAATCTTTACAAGTATCTGAATCAATTTGTACTTCCTCAAATTAATTTTCTATGTAAATATAAAAATTTTTACGCGTTTATCACAGTATAAAGAGAGCAGACTCTCGGTTGTCACTTTGTTTTTAAACATAAAAAATTGAAAATATATTGTATCACATGCATTAATGTTTGCAAAACGATACATAATCATCAGGATTGGATAAATTAACTTTTTTTTTTAACAATAAGTTAAGTTAAAGTTAACAGCCTTGAAAATTTAGCTTAGTTAAGATAAAAGTTAATAGTGACATTAATTGAATTAATTGAATTAAATGAAAAAAAATAATTAAAAAGTTAAAAGTTAAATTTATTTTATTTCATAATTTCAAGTTAACTTTTTTTTAACCAAATTAAAACATAAAATTAAAAAGTTAATTTTTTTTAATTAACAAGGAGACTCACATATGTTATTTTGGTTTTTGATCAGGATTTTTGCGTAATTATTTTGGAGCACAAAATAATTCTTTTAAATAGTAAATTGCACTGCTATATTTTTCAAAAAAAATCATAATTTTAGGTCGTGATGATTGCTTTCAAACCTTTATTGTTTGTTTAAACGTATATGAAATATTGGAATAATTATAATAAAAAATATATTAGATAATCCGCTCATATAAATTTCAATAACAAACAATAAAATAAAGAGCTTCTACTAAGTCATTTTCAATAAATGAGCTTTGAAAGGTATAAACAGTAAACCTTTATTATTCTTTTATTATCATATTCCGTGAAATGATAATAAAAAAATAATAAAGATTTATTGTTTATATCTTTCGAAGTTTATTGAAATTTATTGAAATGATTTAGTAGAAACTCCTTATTTTATTGTTTGAAATATTGGAAATTATTTAAAATTAGAAAAATACATTTCCGATGAACATGAATGTACAAGCATATAATCCGAGTATAAGATCTGTATAATGCCAACTATCCAACCCTGATGTTGACTTTTAACAAATCAAATTAAAAGTTAATTGCTGATAAAATTATATGAAGTTATAATAATTATATGAAGTTAAAAAGTTAAAATGTAAAGTTAAATAAAGTTAAAATTAATTAACTTTTTAACTCTTTAACTTAACTTTTAACGTTTTAACTTAGCATTACCAACCTTGATAATCATTTACTTGATAAACATTTTAACAATCCTAAACAGATTTTATATATTGTAATGTTATATCGAGATGAACCGAACATTTCGTTGTTCAATTTTGTATAAGTGATAAAGAAACAAAAATTTTTAATCAAACTAAAAATTTATAAGAACTTGTTTCTAAATGATTATATTTATAAGACCTTGTTTAAAAAAATCTCTGTTTTCAGACTTATGTCAAAGTGATATAGGTAGCTTAAATCGCTCCAAGTAAATACTTTCTAGAAAGCTATTTGCAAGATTAAGAAATCATTCAAAAATTGATGAACAAATATATTATTTACAATTAAGAAATATTTTAAATATTATAAGAACAACTTGATTAAAAAATCGTTTTTTTATCAAAAAGATCAGTTAAACTGCTCCAAGTAAATATTTTTTAGAAAATTATTTGCAAGATTAAGAGATCATATTATACATATACCAAAAAAAATCTACTAATCTTTCAGCATCCACGGAAGGTCTATAAAACTCAGAGAGACGAAAGCTTAAATAACAAGCTTAAATAACAATCTTTTATATGCAAGGTACAAAAGTTCTTCACTACAGAATATTTTCACGTTTGAAAGATCCAGAATCCAGCGATATGAAATTCTGTCGAAATTACGTTCTTCATTAACAGAGCAACAATACCGTGGCGCACCAGAGAGTAAAGATATGCCTCAGATAACTGTCATCGCAATCGAGGATATACGTGCACGGTGTGCACGCGTGAAACCGCACGTCGAGGCCGTCGAGACGAGGACGCGAACGGGAGTTCACGTGCCGAGCGTGTGGGCTTCGAGAGGGACGCTTACCTTGCTTGACGTCGCGGTTCGTCGAGCGGAAAGTGAAAACGGTAGCGATGAGGGCAAACGGATGCGCTACACCTCGCCAACGGGACTCCTCGGTGACGAAAAACTTGCGGCGCGGACACTTCGCTCGGAGGAAGAGGGGAGGATGCACGAGGGCGACAGCTACGAAGATGATGACGGCGACGACGACAACGATGACGATGATGACGACGACGATGCTCAGAATTCCTCCCTCTTCTGCCCTCTTCTCAAGTTACCTTCGTCGATTGCATGTGCCGGGAACTTGCGGATAAGTCGCGTCGGATACCTCGACGATTGATCACGAGAGGGGTAGAAGGGGGGCACAATAATAATATCATTTGCCGTGCCGCAACACCACGAACGAACACGGTTAGGCCAGCCTAGGCAGCTAAAGTCGCAAGTCGCAACTCGCAACGCTCGATCGGCTCGACTTCAAATCGACTACGCACGGTCGATTCGATCGAGAGCGAATGCGATTGCCCGCGGATTTCAAAATACAATTTTCCGAATATCGGACTTAACAGATCGGACTTAATTCAGTGAGCGCTCGCTATTATTGGTGTATTCCTATCTATCATCCAATCAATTTTAGATCTGGAAGAATACATCAATAGCAGCAAGCGCTCACTCAATTGTTGAATCCGCTGAACCACTGACGAGAGATATTAAAGACCGTCAACGATCTCGGCAAATTTTCGGTGGTGTGAAAAGGATTCCCAAGAATTCGGATAATTGAAGAACGCATTATCGATAATTGAATTGATAAATTTGCTATTAACACAAATATTTGGCTAATACATTATTAAATTCATGATTTTGTATTACATAATAATATTCCATAAATAAATATGCACACTTGTAAAGTTGTAATATCCTATATATTGCTATATATTGAAAAATTACAATTTTTTCTCTGCAGTTATCACCTCTGTTTGATAATCAAATTTTGACGATAACACTGAAATCACAATTTTAAAGAAAATTCGAGTATTAAGTTTTAAATGCATATATACCGATAAACACGTCTATTAAATCATAAAATTAGCACATTATTATCAGGTTTTTACTTTTAATCACTTCAATTATTAATAAAGACGTGAACTCTCTAAGGATGTCGGTCTTTAATAGTGGCTTAATAGTAGTTGTGTTCCAAATTTGCTACTAGCACTGAAAATGCTACAGTTTACGTTACGTGCACTATAGATTTTCAGTACTGGCAGTTAAATTTGGAACACAATCTTTTGATCTGTTTTTTGTTTCTGCATTAGACTGTTCTTTCTCGCTTTAAACAAATATCAAACATATCTATCTCACTTTAAGTTCCAAAAGTATGTACACTAGCTCAGCCGCAGAAAACAAACCATTTATCTCGATGGCAAGCGCAGCCATTCTATGCGTTTCTAAACTCACTACAGAGATGTTCGAATTCTTATATCTTTGCACGATCAGGCGGAGTTTGCGAACGCGCAATCGCATTGACGGGTCCCGCTCTCTTTGTCATCAGTCATCACATGGACAAGCTAGTGCACGTTTGCTTTGCTCGTACGATTCGTACAACATTCATTTCCTTATATAGCAAAACGGATCACCGGTGAGAGAAACTGCATTATCATGAGCACGATAATTACCCAGGAAGCCTATGACGAAGAGATTAGGGAATTAATAGAAAGCCTCGGCTTGACTGAAGAAGAGGCGATCGAGGATGCTATTAAGTGCTACGAAATGAAAGTATGTATTCCTACATCTCTTTGTTTACAATGCTTGTCAATCAATAAAAAAATATACTTTTTGCTCTTTGCGCGCGATTGTGTAATTCATTTGCCTCTCTATATTGGAAATTTTTATCTTTGACATTAAAGAAAAAGAGAGAACAGAGTTTTAAATCATAGAATATTTCGGAAAATTATAACAAATGTTTGTTTAAAAATTAAAATTAATTTGTAAAGAATTCGTATATAAATATAATATAAATTTATTCTTTAATATATTTATTAGGATAAATTAATTGTATATTATATATATAAAATTAACTTCTATATATATATATACACACACACACACACACACACACACACACACACACACACACAAATATATTATTTTGATCTCCAGCGAACAAAATTACAAAAATTTTCCATCTCTATTTTATCAAGAATAAAAATAACAAAGTTTAAAATTATTTCAAATATTGTGGCTTTAAATTTTTTATATAAATTTAACTAAAGCATATATCAGAAAATATATTTTGATAATTAATCGAAAATGTTCTGCTCCTTAATTGTTCAATTAGATGAGTCAGTCTCGAATAAATCATCAAGAATTTTCATCATTGCCGTTAGAAATAAATACGCAATATTATATGAAATTAAAAAATATTAGGAATATATAAATCAATATCTTAAATATTCGTCATTAACAATTAAATTATTTTATCGTTATTTTTTATGGCATATATTAATTTTTATTTTAAAAAATTTATGTTTAGTTTAACAATACACTTTTTAATATTAAATTCTCATTTAATATTTTTTAAATTAACAGTTAATAATATTCTTGTATCGCAAAATTATAGGGCCTATTTAAAAGGTCCACCTGTAGTGCAAAAATAAAATCTGTTACGCGATCCTGCCGCATTTCTTGACGCTTTTAGTTTCGGAGCACTCGTGTCACTATCGTCTATCTTAAGAAATTGATCTGTTTCTTATATTATAACGTATTTGATGCTGCTCAGAAAAGAAAAGATAATCTTTTCTCTAAAAAATAAAATGAAATAAAATTTATGTTGAAGTATAAAAAAATTCGATACTTTACTACAAATATATAATACTTTATTACGAATGAACCACTGCTGAACGAAAATTCCATTTTTAAAATGGCAATTATTTTCATAGATACAAATATATTTTATATAAATATATTTATAAATATAATTAAAAATTAAATATTTATGAGAAAAGTCAATTAGAACTTCTTGCGTCGAGAAAAACACTTCCTCTCGATCATCGTTACATTTATAATTCACGAATGGTATTTAATTCGCACAGGGGATAGATCTGGGCAACATCGTCACAGATTCAGTTCTCGAGGATAAATACAAGCAGATAGTGACGTGCTTGGAACGACTAACGTGCATTGTAAACGACAAGAATTACGAAGGTGTGCTGGAGACGTTGCAAAAACTGCGAAACGAATTGGATAAGGATATCGCACACAGAGTTTTTGCAGGCAAACGCAAATGTTACAATATTCTGATCGCTCTCCTGAAAGATTGCAAGAAGAACCATATGATACTTAAATCTACGCTGGAAACAATCACCTCATTAATGTCCGGTTATCCAGACTTGCTAGATGACGAAGGGATTGCGTTGCAAATAGAGTAAAGATTATTTCGTAAAAAATTGATCTGTAAAAAAAGAAAGAGTATTTGAAGTAGATCCTGATTTTTTATTTTTTTTTAATGACTATTAATTCTAAAAAGTTAATACAAAAGTTAATATAAAAGTTAGGAAGAACAAAATTATGATGGAGAAAACTTTTTCATTGGGATGATAACAAAATTAATATTTTTTAAATTATTATTTGATTGAAAACTGATTTATTTTATTAAATTCGTTTTAAACTTAAAAAATTTTTTATTTCAATAATTTGGAGAAAACTTCAATAGTTTGGAGATACAATTTAAAAAAAACTAATTTTTTCAATTATAAGAAATATGAATTTTAATTTATAGCAAGAAATTAAGATCACCAGAGCTATATTTAATAGGCATCTGTTTCTTGTCTCAAAATAATTTGTTAAATTTTGTTTATCAGTATTTTAGAGGGACATTGTGATACGACAACGTTACAATATCTATTGCGTTGGATACGAGAATGCTGTATAAAGCATGAGTTGAATAGGCAAAAGATATTTGACACCAATATTTTTGAAAAATTAAAGAAGATATTGGTACGTGCAGACGTAAATGCGCAAGAGATTAAAGATGCATGTTCGGTAATCAGAGCGTTGGTACTGGACGATGATATTAGGCATGAATACGGAAAAGCACACGAACATGCGACTATCATGGCAAAGGGTGCTCTCGATATCATCACGGGATTATTGAAAAGTAAATATTATATTTCAATAGCTTTACAATCAATATGGATTACTTTTGATAATTATTTAGTATGTTACAAACATTTGGATTATTTTTTGAAAGTTAGATCATTCTATATTGTTCTTTTATACTATGATTAATTAATACATACACTTTATTACAATATCACGTTGCTGACATATATATATTCGTCATAAACAGGATTTAAAAAGGATACAAAAGTCATAGGCGATCTAATGATCACATTGGCCGCATTAGTTGTTCGAAATGAATTCTGTCAGGAAGTAGAAGATGCCGGAGGATTGAAATTCATTTTAGATATAATGACTGAATATCCAGATTCTGAAAAATTAAATTGGCAGGCTTTGAAGTTGCTCAAAGCGCTTGCTGGCAACGATAACGTCAAGTCTCATATTGTTACTTCCGGATGCGCTCCTTTAATTGTATCCGCTATCAGTAGAATGAAAGTAAGTTCACGTGCAATAAAAAATATTTTTTACAATAAAATTCTTTTAAAAATATTTTTTTTATTTATTAAATGAAAAAGGAGATGTTCTTAATTATTTTAATGTTGTATCATATCGCGGTCTTTAAAATGACTATATTAATATTTTAAAGGAAAAAAATTTTTAATACGTATTAAAATTTAATATTTAACAGAGATCAGAGAATGTCGTGACTGCTGGACTGAGTTGCATATCGGCGTTATCTTTACGAAGTACTTCGAATTCTGGTGTGTTCTATGATTGCGGCGCAGCCCAAGTAATCGTAGATACTATGAAGGCTTATCCTAATAATGTAAACATCTTAAAGCAAGCCTCTTGGGCGATTAGAAACATGTCAGTGCGAAATAAATCCGAATCTAAGGAATTCTTAATGTATGGTGTTGAGGAAATACTACAAGAAGCAGTATGTTTACATGGTCCTAAATTAGAGGATAACGTAAAAGCCGCATTGAGAGATCTGGGTCTGAAGGTAGATTTAAAAGAAAGATGGACAGGAAAAGGCATCAATCTGAACAATGAACGTTATTAATCATTGGCAGCAACATCGTCAGAGTATAGTATCTAGATTATTTACTATAAATACATTGATCGAGTTTGGATCTTGTACCTTGCTTTGACTCACCTCGCAATGCTACATATTAATTAATAAGAATCTTAGTTAACGTAAATAATAAGATATTTTTGTACTCAACAGAAAGATGTAGATTTTGTAAAATTGTCGAGTGCTACTTTATGTTATAATTCTAAAGACGCACAAAATTTCAACAGTTTAGCTACTGAATTGAAATTAATTTAGAAAAACGTTTGTAATGCAAAATTATAATTTAATAATATTCACAATATTTTTCATATCTTTGATGATAAAAAATTTTTCACGCATTATATAGAATATGTCTAAAATTTACATATATATTTTTAATACACTGCCAGAAATTATATTATACATTTTTACTTGATAAGTGGAGAACTAAGTATCCATATTTCGTACTGCCATTTTTAATTGATAATTCAAATAAATAAAAATACAGATTTAATTTTATTGTTGATACAGATAATTGTATGATTAAATTAAATTATTTCCACATATGTATATCAGTTCCATCCATTCGTCCATCTATTGGCGTTACAATCCAAATCGGATCCAGGCCTTTTCTATATATATCAGTTTTATATATATATATATCAGTTATAAAAAACAAATATTTATTGTACTTCAAATTTTGACGTAAATAGATAATTACTAATTAATATGAATAATTAAGGCTGTTGGTGCAATCGGATACTTAACTTAAATAATAAAGCTTTGTCGAACATAAAAAAAGACATAGACTAATGATCGAATAAAATATAATGGTAGTATTTATATAATTAAATATATTGATTGTTTTTTATAATTGTTTTATACAGCGCGAAATTTTACATTATTGTAATGAAATGTAACAAGGAATAAAAAGTGATTAAGCTTTTGAATTATAATTCTTTGAACAAAATAATAGATTGTTTCTCTTTCTTTTCCCCTATATCTACTTCTCACTTGTCAAATCTAATTTTACGTGACAGATAAGCAAAAATTCGTTTAAATATTATGTAATTCAAGAGCAAATTAATTTGTTTTAAATATGACTGTACCAATCAGTTAATTAAAATAATTTTGTCAATAAACATTAGAAATAACTATCTTTTATTTTATTTTTTAATA